TCCGGACCCCGGGCTCCAGCCCCGCCCCTCCTCCTCCAGAACCCAGAGTCCACCCCCGCGCCCCTCCTCCAGAACCCGGGGTCCAGCCCCGCCCCTCCTCCTCCAGAACCCAGAGTCCAACCCCGCGCCCCTCCTCCAGAACCCTGAGTCCAGCCCCGCCCCTCCTCCTCCAGAACCCAGAATCCAACCCCGCACCCGGAGTCCAGTCCTGGCCCTCCTCCTCCAGCCCCACCCCTCTTCCTCCAGAACCCAGAATCCAGCCCCACCCCTCCTCCTCCAGAACCCAGAGTCCAACCCCGCGCCCCTCCTCCAGAACCCGGAGTCCAGTCCTGCCCCTCCTCCGGAACCCAGAATCCAACCTCGAGTCCAGTCCCTCCTCCCTCAGACGCAGAAGTCCGAACCTCAAACCCTCATTCCTGAGACAGGCTCCTGGATTCCCAGGCCCGGGAGTCCCGCCCCAGCCCCTGTTCCCGGACCCGGGAGACCCGTCCCTCACCCGTCTCCTTCACTCGCTCCACCACGATGATAGTGTTGACTCTCTCGCCGCGGCTGCGCCTCTGGGGTGCCCGTGGAGTGGCAGGGATCAGTTGAGTGGGGGGCCCTGGAGGAGCAGAGGGGCCCGCAATCCGGGCCGATGGGGGAAGGGCGTCGGGGCCTTTAGGATCAGAGTTTTGGGGGGTCTTCAGCTCAATGGTCCCTGGAGAATCTGAGGTGGGCCATGTGGGGGAGCCAGGCTGGGTGGCTGCAAGGATTTCTGGTTCAGGATTCAGGGGCTGGTCATGTGGGGCAGTGGCTTCATCCTTGAAGGATGCAGGGGTTTCTGGGTAAACACTCGTGACGTCAGGGTCAGAGGACATGGGGGTCTCCGTTGCGTCTTGGCCATGGATGGTGTGGAATTCTGTCTGGGGAATTTCAGTGGGGCTGGGGCTGTGAGTCACACGGGACTCTAGGTGGGGGGTTTCAGTGGGGTCAGGATGGAGGGTTTGGGATAATTCAGAGTTTGGGAGCCCAGTAGCATTGAGGTCTTGGGTTCCTGGAGATGTGGGGTCGGAGGTCTCGGTGGGAGCAGGAGTTGGGGCCCCAGCGGTTTCTGCATGTGAGATTTCAGGGGCATTGGGTGTGGGAATATCCAGTGACCTCTGGCGTACTGTTTGTATAGCGTCGGTGTTTGGGGGCTCATGGAATTCTGAGTGTAAAGCTTTAGAGAGATCAGGTTTGGGGTTATCGGAGTGTGGGGTTTGAGTCGGGTCAGGCTTGGGGATCTCAGAAGGTTCTGGGTGTGTCATTCTGGAGGGGTTAGTTTTTGTGGTGTCTAGGGATTCTGATAGTGAGGTTGTGAGTGGGTCAGACTTGGGAGTCTCAGGACGCTCTGGGTTGGGGGTTTCTCCGAGGTCAGGGGTGGGGGTCTCGGTGAAGCCAGGGGAGGAGGTTCCAGGGAAAACTGCATGAGGTATCTTGGAGGGCTCAGGAGGAACAGTCCCAGGGAATTCTGGGTTAGGTGTGTTGCTGGTGGAATTTTCAGGAGTGCCTGGGGTGGTCTCCAGGGGGTGGCCCATCCCTGGGAAGTCAGAGCCTGCAGGCGGAGAGGCCGAGGGGGCAGCCTTGGATCCCAGCCAGGCGAGGAGGAAGGCGAAGAGGAAGAGGATCCGGCTGGTCGGTTTCATAGCTCACTGGGAGATGCCTGTTGCTGTGGGGGGTGCAGGAAGGAAGGGGTTAAAGCCAAAGGCTCCCCGGAGTGCCCGCCCTCTCCGAGAGGCCACGCCCACCAGAGGCCACGCCCACGGCTCCCTAAGGGAGCAAGTCCAGGGCCCGCTGGGCGCCCGGGGAAGGACAGAAGGCAGTTTCAACTCCCCAAGGCTGGGGACTGGGGCCTCAGTAGCTAAGGAGATTGAGGCGCGGGGCTTCTGGGGAGTCGTAGTTAATTTCCTTATCTGTTTCCCTTTTAGAAATATTGGGAAAGAATGACATCTCCCAAAGCCCCCAGGCCTCCTGGATTTGGACTGCTGAGGATGTTGGAGCGAACTCCAAGGGCCACGGGATCCCCTTCCTCTCCAAGGAGGGTCCGATGGGCAAACTGGGCTCCACTGTCGTTTACACTAGAGGCTCCGAAGGAGCAGGAGCGCCTGCTGGCTGGACCCTGGATCTGAGGGAGGTGGGGGACTCCTGCATCCTGACCATCCTGACCGGGAGGTTGCTCGGTTGCTCGGAGGTTTAAACTCCTGGGCTCCAAGGGCGAGGGCCCTGAGGGCCTAAATCCCTGGTTCTTTAGAGGAAAGTCGGAAGTTCAGCTGCCTAGAATTTTGAGAGAACATGCTTGGAGGGATGTGGGCTTGGTTATGGGAGAGAAAGGAGATGGGGTCTTGAACTGGGGTCCTGCGTGACAGAGGATCGGGAACCTTGAGTCCTCAGTCTTTCAGCAATGGGATGGGGGTGTGCCCTCCTGAGAGCTGGGGGAGGTGCAGGGAAAGGCAGGACTCTGGGGGGTATGGGGTTTATGGAGGATGGGGCTAGGACCAGCAGGGCTGGTCTGGGCAGAGAGGCTTAGGGCTGTGGTCAGACAGGTGGAGGCGGCAGGTGCCCTGTCGGGACAGGGCCACTTGGGTCCTGGGGCCTCTTACCGGCTCAGCGGTGTCCAGGATCTCAGCAGCGAGCAGGCTGGATGCAGAGCTGGCGAATGCTGCCGAAAAACTCTGGGCAGGGCGGCAGGAGGTGGGATCCCAGGGGCGCAGGTGGCAGGTGACGCACCTGGCCCCCTCCAGGGAGATCCTGGGAGCCTAGCGACAGGCTTAGGCTCTTAAAGGAACAGAGATAAAGGACCTTGGCTCTGGGTTGGGGAAGAGGGTTGAGGTGACCGATTGGATCTGGTGCAGGGATGTGGCCCAAGCAAACTAACTTCCCTTGGAGCTAGAGATCCTGGCACTCTGCCCCAAACCCAAGGGCCTAGGTCTCTGGTACCATCCTACTTCGAACCCCTAGGAGTCAGCACCCCAGAGATCACCTCTCAGACCCAGGAGTCCAGGCCTCCAGGGCCTTCACCCCTCAGATTCAGGGATCCAGGTCCCCAGCCTGACTTCCCTCAGAACCCAGGAGTCTTGGTCCCTGTCCAGGTTCCCGGGTACTGTGCTGCTACCCTGCAGGACAGACATCCGGCCTTTGCCCTCCTCCCTGGGGATGAGGGAGACTCCTCGGTCCTGGACCAGAGGACCGCTCCTTCGAAGCCTCCTCTAGTGTAAACGACAGTTGACCCTCCTCGGAGAGGAAGACTATCCCATGGCCCCTTAGAGTTTGCTCTGACACCCTCCAAAGTCCAAGTCCAGGAGGTCTGTGGGGTGGAGAGGTGCCAGGTGCGTTTGCAGGGCACTCTCTTAAGAATCAGTGTGTGGGGGCCAGCAGGTGCGTGGTGGTTAAGGCACTGGACTCTCACATGGCCAATGATGGTTCAAGTCCTGGACCTGGCAGCTTGCTTTCTCACTCCCCCCCGCCCCCGGTGAGCACACATGCCCTATAACAAACTTAATAATAAATAAAATAAACAAATAATTTAAAAAAAAAAAAAAGAATGCCTAGGGCCCAGCAGATGGCATGGTGGTTAAGGCATTGGACTCCCACATGACTGACCTTGGTTCAAGTTCTGGACCAGGCAGCTTTTTCTCTCTCTCTCTCTCTCTCATACCCTATAACAAGAAAAAAAGAAAGAAAGAAAGAAAGAAAGAAAGAAAGAAAGAAAGAAAGAAAGAAAGAAAGAAAGAAGAAAGAAAGAAAGGAAAGAAAAGAAGAAAACAAGAGGGGACCAGCAGGTGGTTCAGGAGCCGGATACTCCCACATGGCCAACCACAGTTCGAGTCCCGAACCTGGTAGCTTGCTTTCTCACTTTCTCTCTAGTTCTTTCTCTGTCTCTCTCTCTCTCTCTGGTCAAATTAAATGAATGAATAAATAAATAAAGTTAGGTAATTCTTTAAAAAAACAAAAATCTAAAAAACAAGAAAAAGTCTTTTAAAAAAGTTTGTGTGCGGGGACAGAGGGAGGAGATTGGGCCGTATTTTCACAACACCCCAAACTCCTCCCAAGGTGGGCTTGGACACCCACAGCAGAGCTCAGCTCCCTATTTAAGGTCTGTCCCAGCCTTCACCTGACTTTTTTTTTTTTTACTTTTTTTTTTTTTAAGAGATTTTTGTGTATGTGCTCGTCAGAGAGACAGAGACAGGGAGACAGAAACTGAGAAATCACCCCTCCCCTGGAGGGATGGCCCTGCTGCAATCCTGTCTCCATTCTCCTCTCAGGATTTTGGCTACACACACACACAGACATGAACGTGCGCGTGCACACGCCCGCGCATGCCTGGAGTGAGTTTTTAAGCGGCTGGGTCCAGGATTCGAACTGTGGTTGACTCAGTGGGAGTCCAGCGATGTAACCACTACGCCATCTTCTGGTCCCTCACCTGGCATTTTACCTGCCCTCAGCACTCCACCCCCCTGCCCTGCCTTTGCCTGTCTCCTGGATCTCTCTAGCTTTGCGGCCTCTGGGCCTCTCCATCCAGGCCGGGTGTCCTCCCACTGCGTCTCTGAGTGCGTCCTCTCCTGTTCCAGCTCCATCTCCTCCCGCCTCTTGCTTTTCCTTCCCTTTCTTTCCCCCCGGGGCACCCTTCCTCCCTCTCTTTCTGTCCTTGTCCTGCCAGCTCCTGGCGTCCACTGCCCACCAGTCTCTCTGTTGCTTCCCCGTCTCTTTCTCTCTCCGTGTCTCTGTCTTTTGCTGTGATGGTCCCTCTGCCAGTCTCTATTTTTATCCCTCCGACACACCCCCTGTGTCCACCTCTCAGTCTCTCTCCCTCTTCTGCTCAGGTCTAGCTCTTGGTCCCAATTAGTTGGTGGCGGCCAGGCAGCGGCCAGGCCCCCACCCCCGGCTCCTCATTACTGCTGGCAGCTCCTAATGAGGCTCTGGGGGGTGACCCCGCGCCCCCAGCCCCGGCCTGCGTCACTGCCCACGCGGGGGCCGTGGAGGCAATAAAAGGGGGCCGCCGGCCTGGCTGCCCGAGCCCACTGCACCGAGGGGGCCCTGCAGGAGGCTGGTGGGTGGGCCGAGGGGCCTGGGTCTGGGCTGGCCGCCTTCTCTCTGAGCCCTTCCCTCTCTCTCCGCAGATGGAGACCCAGCAGGTGTCCAGGAGCCCCCGGGTGCGGCTGCT